CTGGATCCCTCCAGATCTAGTCTCCCAAGCCATTCCTGCTTCTTCTGACCTTCCCTCAACACCATCACCCGGCCACTGGCCCTGCCCTTGGCCCTCTCCCTTGTCTCTGCAAACTGTTAAATGGTCCCCAGGGACTACACGTGACAGGAAAGGCCTCTCCCACACTGCCCCCCCCCAAGAGCTGCCGTCCCTCAGCAGATGCGCCCCCCTCCCTGGGGCCCCTCCTCCCTGGGTCACAGACTGTGACCAAGTCTTATTGCCTGTCTCTGGGAATTCATTTCCTGTCTCTCCTCAGTTCCACCTCTCTGGGGCTCCCCGGCCCTCCCCCATCCCCCGGCACTGTGTCCCCTCACGTTTGCCAGGCAGCTGGCTGCTTCCATTATTTTTATGCCAACACAGTTTAAAGATCTCCGCCGCCTCCGTGCTGTCTGCGGAGACGCGGCAGTTACACTCCTCTGACATCCTGGTGTCATTAGGGTCCACGCGCACTCTCCTCGGCTAATGAGGCGGCAGAAAGAAAATTAAGGGGAAAAAACCACACAGGCGCCTTGCTCTATATGCAGATGGAGAAATAAAACAAGAGCAAGAGAAACAGAGGTGCGCCATTTACGGGAGCTCACCTCCCTCCTCCCAGGGGGAGGGGCGCATACGCCACTCGCTCACTGGAGACAGAAATGGAGTCTGGTTTGTGACTACTACCACCCGGGGATTCGCCCCGTGAAAAGCTTGGGAGGTTGGAGAACCGTGAAGTCACTTCACCTTGTTCTGTACTTAGGTAAAATGCAAATGCAAAAACTTGGGGCCCATCCTTCCAGCATGGTCAGTGCTGGGAAGGTAAGGCAAGACCAGAGCTCTGCAGACGTTTCTAGAATCTGTCATTCTCACGGCCAACCTTCGTTTCCCCTTGCGGAAGCTATCTGCAGGCCTCACCTGGATTGCCACAGCAGCGTGTGCTTTCCCACCCATCCCCTGTCCCCACATGTTCTCTATACTTCTGCAGAAAAATCAACCCCATGCTCATTTGATTATGTCACTTCTGCTTCAAATGATGTAATACATTCCCATTGCTCTTTTTTTTTTTTAAAGATTTTTTTTTTATTTATTTGTCAGAGAGAGAGAGAAAGAGAGAGAGAGATCACAAGTAGGCTGAGAGGCAGGCAGAGGCAGAGGGAGAAGCAGGTTCCCTGCCGAGCAAGGAGCCTGATGTGGGACTGGATCCCAGGACGCTGGGATCATGACCTGAGCCGAAGACAGCCGCTTAACCAACTGAGCCACCTAGGCGTCCCCATTCCCATTGCTCTTAAGACAATGGCTAAAACTCATAATCCCTGAAACCCCTGCCTCTTGCCCCCTCTTACCACTTCCTTCTAGCTCCTGGGTCATCTTTCAACTGCCCCTACTACAGTGCTCTTTCTGCCCCAGGACTCTTGCCTATGCTGCCGGGAATGGCCCTTCCTTTCTTCACACAGCTGAGTCTTCAGCCTTCAGGTCTGGGCTCACTCCACACGTGCCCAGGGGAGTCTATCACCCTGCCCTCTGCGTCAGCCAGCTCAGGCCCCCATTTGGCACTTTCGAGCCACACAGGTCCTTGTTTGAGCAAGCTCTCCGACCATGGCAACTTCACACTGAGCATGTAGTGGTCTGGTCAAGGTTGTCCTCCACTCAGGTGACTGGCAGCTCCACTAGGGCGGGACACACGCGAACTGCCGACCAACACGAACTCCAGCACTGAGCCCAGGTGTTCTGAGAAACGTCTGCTGAAGGAGTAAGCAAGTGCAGGGGGGAAACAGCCTCTGTGTGCTGCTTGGTGGAGATGGCTCATTGCTGTTGCTGTCCCTGCACAGCCTGCTCTCCTGGGCCGAGTCTGGATCATTTAGACAGCCCAGCACAGGGGAACAAGGGGCAAGAGATGTGAGCAAAACCCATATTCCAGACCAAGCATCTGACCCACTATCCACTAGTGACAGTTGCAAAACAAATTTGGATCTGCAGGTGTGTGTCACCCCACCCTCCGCCTGCTCTCCTGCAGGCCGGCGCCCGCCTACGCGGACAGCTTCCAGGATTCAAACCCGGCAGCAGCCTGCCACCGCGCCTGCGCCTGCCCTCGCGCCCCAACGTCTGACTCCGGTGTTAACTAGCGGGCAGCCGGGCAGAAAGGCCTGGCACTGTCAACATGCTTGCTTCCCAAGCTGTGACACCACTTTGATTTTCGGGGCAGAGCACTGCGCACGGCTCCGATGGATGCTCCGAGTCCGCCCGCCGCGGCGACGGTGCCTTTGTCTGGGCATGGGGGAGCTGTGATTTATGTCATAAGCTCGCTGTGAAACCTTTGCCTCAGTAATTCTGAGCTCCGTGGGTGTCTCTTTACATCTATTTAAAGCACGGCTGTTGCCCACGGACGGCGTGCTCTGTGACATTCCCCGGTGCCTCTGTGTACGCCCCGCCATGGTGCTGAGTCTTGCCAGCAGAGCGTCTTTGTGGCTCGGTTCAATGTTTGCTGCGCACTCCACGAGTCTGCTGAGCAGTCGGGTCTGTCCCTTTGATGCCCTGCGTGGTGATTAGACCCCTTCCCTGGTGGACCACTTGCAGGGGTCTGGGGGGAGGGACGGGCTGCTGCCTGATTTCCAGAGTTCGCCGTGTTTGTCCTGGGCAAGGCTAGAACAAACGCGGCCACCTGCATCTGTTTACAGGATTCCCAGTGTGGCGGTCAGTGTGTTCCCCTTTGAAACCCGCTCCAGACCTGAGCGCCAGGGGCTGGTGGCTGTGGACCCCATCGGCACTCCTCCGTGGGGTGGCCCCTAGAGGTGTGGGGGATCTCAGCACAAAGAAGTCACATCCCGGTTTCCAAAGATCTAACCCGCGGGGGCACTGGCCCTGGAGTTGCTGGAGCTCACTTCATTCATTCAACAAACACTGATGGAGGAATTGCCCTGCGGCACTGTGCTCACTGTGGGGTGGGGGAGACAAGGTGGCAATGCTTTTTTGTGAACACCTCCAAGTGTTAAGCTTTCTCAAGAAAGCTCCAATCCCTTCCCAGATGGTGTGAAATGGCTGAGAGATCTATTGTCATTTTTAGGAGCCAAGCGCTTCTCATGGCTTCTTGGTCGTTGCTGTATAATGGCCTCCGAGTTCAAACCTGCCTGAAGCTTGCCCCCCCCGCCCCTCGCCCCCCCCCCCCCCCCCCCCCCCCCCCCCCCCCCCCCCCCCCCCCCGCCTAGTGGCCATGCTCTAGTCTCATGTGGCTGGCGAAGCATGGGGGAATCCCAGGAGGGGGCCCTTGGGGGCCCAGGAGGGAGACATTGTGCCTTCTCCTGCATCTCGAAGCGAAGATAGGGTAATTCTTAGAGCTCTAAAGACAGAGTTCAGGTGCTGGAGGTCCTGTCCCCAGGGATGATGTCCGTGAGGCTGCACCCAGGACTTGGAAACCTACAGAGATCACTCAGATCGCATGAATCCCAGGCTAACAAAGGATTACGACTCATCACTACTGAACTATATTGACTTTTTTCTTTTAAAGAACTTGCCCCCAAATATTTTTCACTTTTGGCCTATGCATAAGGACATTTATTTTGTTCTGTTTGTTTCTTGTTCCTTCTTTATGCAGTTTCATGCCAGGAAGGGTGAAGTGAGCTTCTTGGTTTAATGCAAACATGGTGTGACCCGGAGGGGCAGCAGGGATGTCCTGTTCCCATTGCATGGGCTGACAAACTAAGATCGCTAATACAGGGACACATTGCAATGTAAATGATGACTATGAAAGGTAAGTGGTACGGAATATGGAAATGCCGGTGCTCCCTTTCAAGAGCCTGCCATATTGAAATTCTACATTAGTGGAGTGCCATGGAGAACAATTCAAAGATACTGTGAGAGGTAGGGGAAGAACCTTGTCACAGTGTTGGTGAGGTAAGGACACACTGAGGGAGTTATGTGGGTGGAATTTCCCCTCTTTCACCTATGTTTTAGTAGACACAAGCGTTACTCTGAATGCAATGTTGGCATTTGAGAGAGATGTGTGGATTTCACTATTTCAGACCATCTAGAGTGCTGTCCTCTTAAAAGTAGAAGCTTTTCAGCTATTTGTTCAAAACATACCCAGCCAAAGTGTGTCTCCTGCATATGATCAGTGAGTCTGGGGATAATTTTTAAGTTGAACACTCTCAATTTATACCTAATGGAATGACTTCCTTTCAATGGAGTCTTTTTAGGAGGACAAACCCTTATTCCAACCAATATTTGGGAGACCTTCCTTTTGGAAATATTTTCCATCTTCTAAGTGCTTTCTTTAATGGGCAATCCTTACCCTTTATCTTTGTCATTTCAGGGTAGATCTGATACGAGGAAAAAGTGACAGGCTGCTTCAGAGTCAAGTCTGCAACTTGGGGCTGAGACCCCAACACAGCCCTAACCCTGAACGGGGCATTTCACCTGGCTGAAACCCAGGTGGGAGAACCTCATGGGCCTGGGTCACGTGCCTGGCATATTTCGCAGGAGTGTGGTGTGGACTGAATGTCAGGTATTTGCGGACGTGTCAAGTGCTTTCATTCAAGTCATTACTAAGGTAGGTAGCCAGATTGGGTATTTCATTTTATATCGAATACTGGACGGACTTTCATTGTTTATCAATTAGATAAGCTGCCAAAACATTTTGAGCCATGAGGGCGCCATCCAACTAAGTGTCCTGCGTCCCCAGTTTATTTAAAAACAACTATATTTAAGTTGGCTCTGCACCCAATGTGACGCTTGAACTCACAACCCGGGGAATTAAGAGTTGCAAGCTCCACCCAAGGAGCCAGCCAGGCGCCCAGGCAACTGAATTTTCTAGGGACTGGCTTAGGGACACCTGCCCTTCCAAGTGTGGCCCCAAGTCCAGCAGACCCCGCCTCACCAGGGAGAGCTGCATTCCCCTACCTCCCGCACCCGGGGAATCAGAAGCTGCAACCCCTACAAGTTCGCAGGCGCAGCTAGCCCCCAGCTGCAGGCCGGTCCCGGGGCCCTCTTACCTTGGGGAAGGCGCCGGGCCACACGGCTGGGGAGCCGTGGTTGAGCAGCTCCTGCACCGTGCGCTGCGGGCCGGGCTCAGGAGCGCAGGCGGCCGTCTGCAGTGCGCGGGCCAGCGGCGAGGCCCCGCCATAGTCGAGCGCGCCCGCGTCAGCGCCGTGTCGCAGCAGGAGGCGCGCCAGCCCCGGGCACGCGTGGCCGCAGGCCTTGTGCAGCGGGCTGCGCTCGTCCTCGTCGCGCGCGTCCGCCGCCGCCCCGCGCCGCAGCAGGAGCGCGCACAGGCGCAGGCGGCGCGCGTGCTCGTCGGGCCGCCGCGCCGCGCTGCACGCCGCGCTCAGGGGCGTCTCGCCGCGCCCGTTCCTCGTGTCCACGCGCGCGCCGCAACCCAGGTAGAGACACGCGTGCTCGTCCAGGCCGCGCTGCGCCGCCACGTGCAGCGGCGTGTCCCCGCCCGCGCCGCCCGCGCAGTGCACCGAGGCGCCGTGCTCCAGCAGCGCTTGCGCGCACCTGTGGGGAGGCCAAGGCGGGTCACCGAGAGGCCGAGGCGCGCGACCCCCTCTAGGGCCCCAGCTGGCGGACCCCCACCCCCGCGGCCAGATGCTCCCTGATCGCCACTGCCACCCCTCCACCCCTCCAGTCCTCTACCCCTGGGGCAGGTTGGCTCGGTGGAAAGCAGGGGCGGCTCTGAGCTCAGCATATCCGTACCCAGGCTCTGGGAGGTCAGACTGAGCTGAGGGGAGGAAGTGAGAGTCTGACCGACCCTGGGGCTTACAAGTGGTGGAGGTAGCTGGAAGGTTTCGAAGAAGCCATGTGCAGAGTAGGACCTTATGAGGAATTTGTAACTGCTTGGTGCTTCTTGGGAAGGTAATGTGGTTCAAATGGCAGTGCTCGAAGCACTAATTACCTGGGCTCTTTGTCATAGCTGCCAATCACAGAGGGCCTGGGAGTCCTGGTTCTAACGAGGGTCCTTTAGACCATCAGGCTCTTTCTCAGTCTCTGCTGTAAACTGTTCATCTTTGGTGATGGTGTGAGGCAAGGCTTGCCTTGCTCCCACAGAGGGACTCTATACATCCTTCAAGGCACTGACACCGATTGGTCCTGGGGTATCCTCAGACAGGGCTAGAAGAAGGAGTAGAGCACATAGCCATCCCTAACTGGGGGGATCCCTTTGTTTCAATCTGACTTTCCTTGGAGACTGTGAATCTTGGCTGGGCCCATCTGGGTACAGACCCCAGTGGTCTCCTGAGGTGGGGGTGTCCTAGATTCCTATGGGACACTGTGGTCTCCCTCAGAGGTGGGAGTTCTCTGCTGCCTCCCAGTCCACCAGCTGATCCCAAAGTGTCCTCTTCCTCAAACACCAGTGCTTCTCGGGACAGCGGCTTCCTCAGAGCCTCTTGGCACCTGGGGGAACGCCACACACCTACCTAAGGGCAGATGGCACGCTGCTGACTGGGCTAGGGTCATGCTGGGCCTTGGGCCTCGGACCCCGGTGGGAAACTCTCGGCTGAAAGCAGGAGGCCAGTCTCACAGCGTCTCCACCACGGGGCTGGCCCTTGTCCTCTGTGGGCACTCCTAAAACACCAGCCCCACTGCAAACCCGTGCTCCTGGTCTGGACAAGCTGTGAATGTGTTTGCCTTGCCCATGGAGCTTTCGGCCTTTCTAGCTCGTCCATGCCTGTCAGTCCCCTTCTCATCTCCGCCCTGCTCAGACTTGGGTTGTAGGCCCCTCATCTCTCAGCCCTTCCTGGCCTTCTTCCTTCCTGAGTGGCACTGTGGTCACTCTTCTCAGCATCCCAGCCCCTGGAACTGAGGGGACGTGGCCATCCCCCACACCAAATGTGGCTCGTGAGCCTCTGCTCCCTCTCTGTTTCCTGTGTCCTCTCCGTCCGCCTTCTGGTCCTGCTTTATTCTGAGCTCTGGCTCTCTCAGGAGCGGCCACCCATCCTGTTTTCTGCCCACGAGTCCATCTTGACTGCCACTGGGATCTGTTTCTGCAACGATTGTTCTGTCCTTTCCGCATGTGCCTGGGGCAGGGAGTCCCCTCTCCATCGTCTGCCCCCAGATTTAACCCTCTTCGGCCTCCCTGTCTTGTTCTGTAAGTTATTGGCTCTTTGCTTTTTCCTTGTCACCCGGCTGCCCTGCATTTCAACTGGTCACTTGGCCCCGTGGACTCCTACTCGTTCATCATCACCGGAAACGCTTCTTCCTTCTGCTCCCACTGTCACCGCCCTGTGTGGAGGCCCACATCATTTCTAGCCTGAGCTTTAGCCGAGGACTCCTTCTCTGCCCCCTGCTCTAATCGAGCAAGCTCCATACCGCCCAGAAAGAGCCTCTCCAGTGTGACTCAGCCATGTGCCAGCTGAAACCCCGAGGGCTCCTCCTGCCTGCTGCACGGAGCCCGTGCTCGTTTCCCCCTCAGACACAGGACGCGGTCTGACCCAGCTCCCACTGGCCTTGCGGCTTTAATTCCTGGAGCTCCAGCCTGTGTCTCAACCCTGCCTGGCTAGGTGCGGTTCTTAGAACACACCTGCTGTGTCGTGCCCTCATGCCTTCTGCATGCGGCTCCTTCGTGGGGGTGGTGCACACATTCCTCACTTCCCCTCCTCTTCAATTGCGATGCCTTCCCAGGGCCACCAGCAGAGGGTTACCCCCCTGTGTTGTCACCATATACCACATACATGAAGTGCTCGGGGAATTGCATTTATCACACCACGTTTCAAACCTGCATTAGCACGTCTGACTCCTCTCTTAAGACGGGTGGCTCCCCGAGTGTACAAATGGGGTTTTATTGGTGTCTGTGCCTCAGTGCCCACGGCAGAGCTAGCCCGCTGTGGGTATTCCCTGAAATTCAACACGTCGCACCAACGCATCTGCTTAATGACTGTTTTTCAGCTCTCCTTTCTGTGGCGGCTCTTTTTCCTGTTATTTACCTGGCTGGGGCTCCGAAGGAGATCCCCCAACGAGGGTTTCCAGGCTTGAAGTGGCTTCTGTCCTTCCGTCCCATTCGTGTCTCTACCCCGGGTCCCTCAGTATTTTTAAATTCTGTCTCTCTAGTTCTCTAGCCTCCCGACAGCAGTATCTGGAGAAGTGGTTTGTCTTGGGGGGGAGAATCTTTACAAACAAGTACAGTTTGATGTGAAATGTCCTTTGGGACAATAACCAGCTAAGAGAGGATGCAAATTTCACAATCAGTGTTTCACATTTGCTTCCTCCTTGCCTCTCTGGGAGGCATTTTGAACATTTTGAGCAGTGCAGCAGGAGGTGAGAAATCAAGGATTCTGTCTCATTTTGTTGCTGAGCCTGTGTGTGCTCACAAACAATCACAAGACATTTTCTTTTACTATTTTTTTTTTTTTAAAGCAGCCTAGCTTTTCCAAAGAGGTCCGCGGGGAAATACAGCCGGGCCTCTTTCCCCCATCCAGGGCTTCACCGGCGGAGGGCCAGGTTGCTGTTCACAACAAGGATACCCTTCAGAAGAACGAGGGCACCGGCCCACCCTCTGGAGGGCTGCAGGTGCCCTTTTTCGTTTTTAATGAAGAGCTTCTAATTGGCTAAACCTTGGCACTTCCTTCGAGCAGGTAATGATGTAACTTGCAGACCACAGGCACGAGAGAAACGACACAAACAATTGACTGAGGCAGATCTAGCCGGCGCACACTGAGCAGTCATCAAAAATGAAGGTGTGGGAGCCTATTTAATGACACGGAAAGCTATTTGCAGTGGTTATGTGAAAAGATTAGGTACAAAACAGCACTGAGCAGTCTTGTGTGTGTGTTTTTTGTTTTTGTTTTTGTTTTTTTTAAAGCAGAGATGCATAGGCATCGATCGCAAGCAAGCCTGGAAGTAGGCTGATGTCTGTTTACGTATGGCTGATGGGGTGAGGGGTGTTCTGATTTCCTTTCTGCTTGCCTATGTTTTCAAAATTTGCATAATGAATCAGAGTTACCATTTGAGAAGGGAGCAAGAGAGGCTGATAATAACAGACCCGTCCCCTGCCGGCTGTTGGCAACAGTTCCTGGATCCTAAGAATGTCAGCTGAGCTTTCCAGGTTCCCAGAATGAGCTCAGAGTTTCCATGGCTCTGTCCAAGTCCAAGCTGCGCTTCATAGAAAGTATGTATGGCCGTATGCCCGAGAAGGTGAGCCTGAAGGCGGGCAGGGGTGGTGATAAGCAGAGTGGTAAGTGATAACTGTCTTGGGGACCTCCTAGACCTGACCTTGTAGGTGTCAAGTTCTCCATTGGAAGAAGAAATAGCCCAGGGAGGAAAGCCCCACCCACGCTTTTGCACAACTGTGTGGGCAACTCAGCTTTGGCCGAGTCCTTTCCTCGGAGGTAAGTTTTGTGAGTAGGTTTCCTGCTATCCTGATAGGCAGGCAGGTCAGGAAGGCCTGGGGCCAGTGTCCAACGGTCACTGTCAGGGACCAAGGCTACATTTCCATGTAAGCATGTCAGAAAGACTTGTCTCTGTCTTACAGGGATTAAGGAGACACTGTGTGTCTGAACAGCCTCTGATCCAAAGCAGCTGGGGTGAACACTAACAACCCCCTCCCTCTTCGCCATCCTTGATAGTGATTGTGGTGACAGGCTATTACAAGGGCCCGAGGTTCATAGTACGCAGAAAGTTACTTGAGCCAAAAAGCAGGAGTTAATAGAGATGAGCCCATCAAGGGCTATTGAATCAGTGTCATTTTAACTTATTTCTAAGTGGGGAAGTAGGGTTCTGAGCCCACATCCCACACATGGCTCCCATCTACCTTCCAGCATCTTCCCGAGGCCCCACCTGGTTCCCTCCCAGGTGCGGAAGCCCACACCAATCCTTCGGCCCGGGCTTTGCTGCTGTTTCCTCACTCCCTTGACACCACCTGCCAAGCCTCCCCGCATCCTGTGGGGTAAGGCCTGCTCAAGGCTTTCCTCCTTTCATCCTCCCTCCTCCTGATCACGTGGTTTCCACAAAGTCCTCTACAGTGGGATTTCACAGCCTCTGGACCTGAGCTGAGAGGTCCCCAGTACTTGATTTTTAAATTTATTTTTAAAAAATGTTGTCTGCGGTTTTGCAACAAATCTACACCATGGGCAGAATTTGCAGGTGGGGAAATTGAGGCTTAAAAGACCAGTGACTTGCATAAGGCCATACAGCCAAGGACTTCCTCCTCCGGCTCCAAAGCTCTGTCACTTCACCCACCTGCTGCCTCTTCCCACTGGTATCATCTCTTACTCCGAGTCAGGAGTGCAAGGCATTTTCCATAAGTTATTCCTGGACTTTTCTGCCAGTGGTTCATGCATTCGCTCATTCATTCAGTAAGCGGGGAACACCGTCTGTGCTGTGTTCAGTACCGCCCTCAAAGCAGGGAGAAGTGTGTCTTGTCTAAGCACGTCACAGGAATTTCTGGAAAGACTGAAGGCAGGACCCAGAAGGCAGGACAAAGCAGGGGAGTTCACCGGCCTTGGGGACTTGGTGCTAGGGGGCAGGTGACAGCATCCTGCTTCTCACCCAGTCGTGCCAGCAGC